TTTTTTTTTTTTTTTTTTTTGGTGAAGCTGGGGAAGGGGGCGTTTTCTCCTGGTTGGGAGAAAGGAGGGAGGAGGGGAGAGAAGAGGGAAGGGTGGAATAGCTCTCTGTATTCTGTTATGGGGCTCTGTTACAGAAAGGGTTAATTATATTATCTATACACATACATAGGCACATGTGTGTGTGTACATGAGCAATTTAGTTAAAGGACAGAAAAAGGTACACCAGGGAAGACTGGTGGGAGGAAAGAATAAAATCCTAGCTGCTGTCTGAAGGGCTTGTCACCAATTGTCCCTCTGCCTTTCCTTTTTTTGTGTTTTCTTTTTTTTTTCTCTCTCTAAGTGATTGGCTTTGTGTGTGTCTGTGTGTGTGTGTCTTTCTTTATTCCTTGGGCACCTGCAGCGTTGATTTCCAAATGCACATTTTCCTCCCGGCCAACTGGCTCCTAGTGTGGGGGAAAAGGGAGGGAGGGGGAGACTGTCCAGGGGTTAGGGGGAAACTATCTTTGCCTGGACCTATCTCCTTTGGTGTGGTATTGGTCATTGGCCTCTATAAATTTAACCGCCTTCTTTCCTCCCCCACCTCCCTGTCCCCACCCCCCACACACCATGCACACATACACACAGAAGGCTTTGAAATTCTGCAGAGTTGGTCCACCTTTCTTAAGCACAAAACCAAGATACGGTTTATAGTTGGCTTATAGTGTTTCATGCACCTGATGTGATGGTTTGAGGTTCCTGAAGGAAACTTTTCCCTTTCCTTTTTTTTTTTTTTGTTGTTGTTGTTGTTATTATGGTATTGTTTCAAATGCTCAGATGCGAGCTTTGTTAATGACAGCTTAAATCTCATATACAGTAACTGTACAGGTTTAGATTGCTGGTTCTGTTGATGTGTTTGGGTGTCAGGTTTAAATTTTGTTTTCAAAGGAAGGCTTCCTATCAGTGTTGTCCTTTTCTGTGTGAACTGTTTTTGGTTGGGATGCTGGTGGTGATGGTGGTGGATGGTGGCCAGTGGTTGGGAGTAAGGGAGGTACTGGTGGTGGTGGTGGAGGTGGTGGTGATGGTGATGGTGATGGTAATATTGGTGGTGGTCATAGATTTTGATGTCAGCGACTGAATCAGTTACTCTCTGGTTCTAGAATTGGTGCTTTATTGGCCAAAATTTTGAGTGTTGAGGTTCACCACTTATTAGAATAATTCCAACTGTGGCTTTAAGTTTGCCAAGGTGGGTGGTTACCGTACAGTGTGACCTCTTTCTGTCTCTCTCTCTTGCTTTAAAATAGGAGTTGAAATGGCAGCATGTTCCTAATAGAACATGCTGTTTGGAATTTGGTTCATCATTGCTGTCTGTGGTTGGTTTAGGAAAGTACTTGTAAGAGCTGTTACAAGTGGTTCTGCTTTCTGCATGGTTATCCTGGGCTGTGGTGTGGCCCCTCTCAGGAATCAGGAGGGGCCACTAGATTCCCACGAACATTTTTGGAGGACAAGTAGGGATATATGTGTGTGTATATATGTATATCACTTATGCAGTTCTTTTTGATGGTTTTATTTTTAACAAATAGGTGTTTGACTGGGCTTGTGATATATATCTATTTATTTGGCTTTGGCGAGAAAATGTGCTCATTTTAATTTATTTTGTGCTTAAAAACTTGTAATTTTAAAAGAAGACCAAGTTCAAAATGTACAGTTAATACCATTTCTTTCTTTGCTCTGATTATTTTTTTCTGCTACTTTTTTAGATTCAAAATCCAAGTTATTTTGGTTAGCTGAATACTATGCCACCTTCATATCTAAATATCATATGTATATCTATGTGTAGGTATAAAAGGTCTAACTTTTTTAAAAGTTTACTTAAAATTCTGTAGAAAAATTTAAACATACAGAAGTAGACAGAACACCCAACATCCAGGTTTGAGAACTACCAACTCATATCTCATCTTGTATTTTCTATGTTTCATCTGTTTTCTCTCCCACATATGATCTCATCCGTATTTCTCATATAGAAATACTTCTATATGAATCCCTAAACCATAATGACTCCAAAAATCCTCAGATCCCACCAAAACCCCCA